GGGCCACTAGCCCTATATCCACTTTGCCACTTTGAATGGATACAATCTTCGGCTAGATATTATGAGCCCCCCCCCCCCAAACTCCATTTTCACCTGTCTTTATGTGCATTGAAGTGATGCTAAAATCGTTCCAGCAACTTCTTAAGAGTTTCAACCGCTTTGGTTTGTTTAAAAACTTATTGTTAGACCACAAGAATGGTGTTGGGACGATGCTCTCATTTTTTATCACTACACATCAGAAAGAGTGCTATATGTTCTGAACCATGACTTCAGACGTAAATTTTCAGTCAAGAACTGTTAGGCGACCTGTTCTTTATCCTGTGAAGAAGATGATGATCCATCACGAGCAAAGAGCTGACCACTATCCTCAGGCTACGAGTGAACTGTCGGAGCACAATACGATTGTGGACTGCGTCGACTATTTACAGGTATCACGAAACGATGTTTTGTCAGAACTGTCTTTCTTATGCTGTAAAATCGGATGGTGGAAAGGAAAAAGTCCATTGTCGCGCCTACCCCGGCGCCTTGCTCCATCCATTTCGCTCCAAGCGTAGGGATTCACCCGGAGAAGCGGGGTCAGAGTCATCGTGAGGGTTTACGATTCGGAATCTTACGCCGCGCCAGCTGGCCGCCACCACGCTACGCTCGTTGCGTAAGTATGCTCTAGCAGCTCCCATGTACTAAGGCTATATATGACCTGTTGTATGCAGATTTACCGTGCCTACAATTACGCCTAGTACTTAATCTTTCGACCTATGGCCCACAATTATTTTCCCGGCCCGGCCTACGCGCCTCACAATGCCTTTTGTAACGGAAGTACGCTGCGGTATTGAGCTCATTAGATATTGACACACGACACAAGATATGAGAAGCGGTAAGATTACTGTTCACGGATCTTATCCAAGCGCTGCTTACGATGGGCTGTGTTCTCGCTCTCGGGCATCCATACCCGTACTTCGTTGGCATTCCATAAGCGCGGTGACGACGATGTGCGGATTCATAGCGCGGATGACGCACAATGTGCGGAATGAACTGAGGAAGGCATCGGACGACATTACTGGAGCTGCAAGTGGGAGTGACATGACCATGAGCGGCCCAACTTTGTTTCCGGGTTCTGTTGTGCTGCCCGCACATCACCAGATTAAGTCGACGGGGAACACTACGGATGCTTGACATGAAGAGGCCGAAGACAAAGGGGTCGCACGGACTGTAGAAGTCAGCCCACTTCACCTATACGCACTCGGACACTCGCAAAACGTCGTTAGCTTGACTTTCTTACGAGAGCTAACTACCTCAGTGGCGTTTGAGGGTTCTGACGTCAATTTGTCCTTTTCTCCCTACTACTAGGGTGTTTAATTGAATTTGAGATTGCATGATACAGAATATTTTACCACATAAATTTCTTTCTAAAACTGAAGTTCTATATGTCAATTGTAAGCATATTTTATCTCCTTTCTACCATTACGTTTGAATTTCAATATTTTTCGTTTCTTGGTTTTTTTAGATCTGAACTGAAGGTGTCAACACAGTAATTTGGGAAAGTTCACTTCGATGCTGACCGAGATTCTGACTAAGTATTATACTGTAGAATAAGTTAAATGGGGCTGAGGAAGGCGCGAATAGACCGGGGTGCCGCACTTTCCAATATTGAGGTCTTGAACAATTCATTATGAGGTGAAAACGGCGGAGTTGTTTTGTTGGTTGACAGGCTTTTAATTACTCCCGTAGAGGCTATTTTCGGTTCCAACTGCTACCTAAGCTAGCCTACAGCTATATATACCAGGGGGGGCCATAAAAAAAGACATTTTGTCTCCACTTTCAGATGGATTTAAGCACACTTTGCTCAATTGAGACCGAGTGTTCCCAACTTAATATTGAAGAGCACATTTCATTCTATAAGAAAATCTTCATGTTGGCCACCCACGTGGACGGCAACAGAAGAATTTGCCCTGGAAATGGTGCACTGGTCGAGCTCAATGGGGTCTTCGAAGGATCTGTACCATACGACCTTTACTGGAAAGCTCGTTCCGAGGGGATTTGCATAGTGGGAGCTAATGCCTCTAGAAAACTATCCAACATTAAATCGATTCACGAAATTGCGTAAGAGCTTCAGGCTGAAGCTCTTACGGTAGACCTCCTTGAGCCTGACGACGGTGACAGATGACGTCATATTCTGAAGACGGTGAGGGCAGTGAAGGAGGGCCTGCGTACTTATAGAGGGACACTTAGGGAATACTCTGCTGAGGAACTCCCGTCAACGACGGCAATCTCTGCGAAGAAAAAAGGGCCGAAGTCCGACATAGGCAAAATGTCTTTTTTTGGCCCCCCTGTATGAAGTAAGTATTTGAAAATATTGGCAGCTCCTGAAGATAGAGGTGAAAACTAAACAGATGGTTACCGCATGGAGTCAACGACCGTACGTGCCTGCTTCAAAAGATTCTCCAAAGCCGAATATGTATTAGGTCGGGAAGCAGTTCTTGCGCTTTTCGGTTTCGTTTTTCAACGCCTTATTTTGTTACGAATTCAAGCAAGCCGCCAATGAGCTGTATGTGGTTTTGAAGAGCTTTTCTTGTTCTATCCAACAGCTAGGCTAGCTATGTTTCTTATCATTTAGTAGTCATTTTTATTGAACCTTTGAAATCGGCTATCAGAGCAATTGCATGATTTCCTTTTTCTAGCTCAAAGCAAGCCAGTATGGAGAGGAAGCAGGTCAAGATATTATAGACGCATTTGGCTGAGAGTCGCAATAAATATGGTCTGGAGCAATTGTTCAAGAAGCTTTTGTATACTGAAGATTGTGAGGGTGGTGTCGGCGAATGCACAGCCAACGATTAGCGGAGTATAGTTGAAGCACGTTTGCAGAAATCTTGGAGCATGCTTCATCACTAACGCACTGCATTGTGTTTCTTGTTGTACTAAAGAGCGGAAGTCCGATCAAAATGTCAATAGCGCGTTCGCGACAGCTCACCATTTTGAAGGGTCGTTCGCCACGCTCTAGCTTGTTTCACGTTTTCAATCATTTGCGACGCACGACAAAGAACGGATTTTTTGCTACAGAATACGAACCTTTGGTGAAGTGATCGACCGCGATCAGGCTCTACAAACTTTGCAAAAGTGAAACTTCACTGAGGAAGGTTGAGGTGACTTTCATAAGGTCAGCGGCTGGTCTAGCTTTCGTAACCAGGTGGATCTGTTAATGTGGAAAAGTACTTCTGATAATGTGTAAAACTACTCCTAGAACTCTGGCACATATGCTCGAAATTCCTCATTATAAAGGAACCGGCTCGTCCCTGACAGGATAGCTCGGACGCACATTCCACAACCAACCCTGCAGAAGTTGACAAGATTGGCTACGAATTAGTCCTGCGAACATCCTACTCGGTAGACCTTTTGCCTATAATTTGTCACTTTCTCGACTACCTGGATAGCTTCTCCAAAGAGTTATGCTTCAAAAACCAACATGATGTGGACTCCGCCGGGTTTTATTTTCTTAGACTACAGTTGATTTACTACCGTGCTGGATTCAGCGCGAAGCTTTATTGGGAGTGCGTTTTTGGATTTCAGTCTTTACAACAATCGGAAAAGGATTTCGAATGAGCGAGATACAGATTGAAATCAAGCTCCGAAGCGCTAAGAATTTGTTCGTCACGACCTAATACAGATAGGGGACTGATCTTTTGCGGTATTCTGAAGAAATGAGGGCATCATATTAAGCCGGTATGAATTTGAACAATACAACACCAGATGTTGGTCTAGAGTACGGGCGAGTGCTCTTGAATACGTAAATTCGTCAGCGAGGCTTGAAATGAACTAGCGTATGCAAGTTCCGCTCCACACGTAGTTCTCACTGGGCCTCTCCACCAGTAATATCCTCACTTCTTGAGTAAGAAGTGCTACAAACAGCGCAAGAAAAAAGTGGTAAAGAAGGTAGTTGCTTCTGCAAAAACAGCTCTTCTTGCAGGCACTTAACGAGAAACCGCAATGAAGGTTCTCGGCATAAATGACGAAATGCACTGAACCTCTTGACCGGACTGCAAGAGAAATGAAAGCGCTGACTAGTGTGGTACAAGCTTTGCACTTTGACTGAGTAGAGTATCTGTGAAACCACATTGAATGCGCCTCTGGTTCTTGTAGCTGGGACCTTTTACGACAGCACTGCAGAAGTGGGCAGAACAGAAGGTCTTCAATTGCTATTGTGAATCGATGAAAATGAATGAGACATTCGAAGCGAATTCGTCTTGACACATTGATAACTACGACTTATTGTCAATTTATTTTTTCCAGAGAATTGGAGAAGACGACCTCACTACTCCAGACATCATCTGACGCTCCTAGCCCTTCTGGCGTGGGTTAAATTCAAGACGCGTACGTTTACTTTTATTTAGGGCAGAATTACGGGTAGAGGTGGCGATTAAGGATGGTTCAGCAAGAGAGGAGTCTGATCTTGGGGCTGTGCTACGTTAATGAGAACGGAACATGGCATTTTGCTACAGGAAAGGCAAACTACTCAGCGGTCTACAAGGTTTCGCTAGTGGTGACCGCTGCTTATGCGGAATCTGTTCAGAAGTGGCCACCTTTACGAGTGGTCTTATAATGGGCGATGGCGACAAAAGGCAACGAGTAGGGTGTCCGCCATTCCCTTTGGTGCTTTCTTACCATGGCACCTTTGTCATCTCTATTTTTACTTCCGACAATGACCACTTGAGCGTTGTAAATATAAGATGCAGAATGTCATGGACTTTCTTGCAGGATGGAGGGAGAGCAAGATTCCCGTTGCTCAGTAGTGAAAGCCAAAGTTCGCCTTCTACCTCGTACACTTCCTCGTTATCCAATCAGTTTCGCACACGTTCCTCAGCTCTAGACAAGTTAGCACCTCTATTTCAGACAAGGATCGTCAGGCGTCTTGCAGTAATCCGCTAGTGAGTTAAAATTACCCAAAAGTCTATGGTAAGTTGTTACCTTTTCTTTTACAGTGTTTCGACCATTCTAAATGTCACATAATGCAACCGAATGTTCCAAGTACTAACACAAATGGAACACCAGCACCGCAAGAAAGTTCTGCTTGGCCTGTCCCAGGTAAGAAACGTTAATGTAGAGTCGAGTGATGAGCAGTGTAACTTTTTTCACACCCCGTAAATGGCTGACAGACAGACTTAACATTTACGACGAAGAAAGCATCTACAGGGTGTCCCATAAGTATTGCTCCACATTCTGAGCTTTAATCTGTTGGTGTCTACAGTTTTTTCCAAGGTTGATAATATTCATAGCCTATTGTGAATAACCTTGCTAAATTCTGCTACATACCGTTCGGTCTACATCTCATGATGTGCCTGAAGTTTGATAGTAGGCCTGATCTTTTACACAGCTAGGATAAAATCAAGAACGATAACTAACTAAAATTGGTGTGAAAATCATTACTAGGGATCTTGAAAACTGGTGGTACATCTGAATTACAATGATACGTGAGGCACGAGCATCAGTGTTGAAATACAAAAAACACTTAACAATTCGCGAATTACATTTTTAGCGATTGAAGAATGTTAATCGACAATCTGCGTCCATCCGAGCGTCAGTTAAACACAAACAAAGATGTGCTCGCATTCAAACAGTCATTTCTATTAATTAAGTTTTTCATTAGAAGAAATAATTTGTATATTTAGCAACAACTGGGATGGTATGGTCGCCGAGCTCCCAAGAATCAGCAGTATCGCAGTATGCAGTTAAGAATGAAGATTACGCAGAACAGTTCCACTATCAAAGGCTCGAAGATGAGAGGATGAGGGGTGCTCTGCTCAGTCCACCTCTTTCCGGTGAACAATCACCTGCTGCGCTCTTCCCAAATGCAGGATTTCTTGCCCCTTCATCTCAACCTCACTATCCAGCCAATATTACTCCACCGGTCGATAGCTGTGGTGTACAGGTTCGTATTTTCCTACTGGTACGTGTTCTTCACTTTCCATTCTTTGCCACAAACTATTTGTTTCATTAGATTCATTCTCAAATGGACTACGATCTTTAAAAAAAACTGAATAGCAAATGGCCAACTGTACTTATTGGATTATCCCTCCCATAAGTAGTGCCGCTTAACCTCGAATGGGAACTTTCCCTCTAGAATTCCAATTTTTTACATCAATTTGTATCGGATCCAAAGGAGGTTCAAGTACTCTTTGGAGTCGCTTCCTACATTTGTTGTAGGAGTATGTATTTAACTTCAGGCCTGCAGAATGGTGGGGGGAGGTCTGTTTGACGAAAACTAGCCTAGCCGATAACTAACTTTACTCAGTTTTTCTGCGACAATCAATCAATGCTGTGCTCTGTGCTCCGTCTGATCTCTTCTGAAAATCCCGCTAGGCCTCACAACAGGTCGAATGTTCCTTTTTCGATTTCCATGTTCCGACGGAACTCGGTGGTTAAGCACAATCTCGTCCAATCTGGACCCAAAAACATTTCTAGCCACAACGTTGAAAAACTGCTGTAACATAAGAACAAGTCGTGACTCGGCCCAAAACGTATGCTTGATTAATTTTATCATCTTTAAGGGGATTTTTTTCTTGAAGAAATGTGGCAACTCCCGTGGACTGAACACCTTGTAAGGTCAACCGGAAATTCAAGCTGTTTTGTAGCGAAAATAAAAAACAAAACTTATGGCTGAATACAGCAGAATAACGCTTACAAACTATTTCGCACTGGTGTCAAACAATGGGATTTCAGAGAAAAATTCCCAATTCAAAGACATCTGCGGCGTAGCGGTCAACCAGAAAAAGCAGATTCAAGAGAGACAAGGCTTTTCTAGCAAACTGATAGTGATATTTAGAAAAGCCGTTACTAATCATAGGTGAACAGTACATCGTTGATCACACTCTCCTAGTGGGATATGAAATTAGAGCTAGTTGTCACTAGGCTCACTTTCGCCAACTGGACCTCTTTATTAGCGAGCTTAAAATTCAACGGAATCGCAACAATTGGAGCTAAGCATGCCATATTATCGAGCGAATCAGTCTCTTTCGAACACTTGCCTGCATTATTCTACTAGCTCATGTCGTTGGGGAAGGGCATTCAATTGAGGTAGCCACTCACATCACTTGGGACAAAGTTCAGGGAGGAGGAAGGGATTCAGGGAGATCATTTCAGCAATTTTTTGTTACCACCAGCCCCCAGGACGCTGTAAAGAAGTACTGCAGGATCGATGAGATCGAATATGAATTTCTTCGTTTTCTCACTACTCTTTAAATGTCCATGTATGCTCACTATGCCGCTGCTCGCTTCTGCCCAGCTCTGAGGCTAGGTCTTCGAATGCTGATTACAAATATGGAAACTAAAACTGCAAAATGAACCTGCCAAGGAAGTTGTGAGCAGTCAAAGTTGGCTGGAAGTAAAGCATTACACTAGCCTCCGGCTTTCAAAGTCGCCGTGGAGTAGTGGTAGTGCTCTCGGAATTTGCACTCCGAACGGGAGGAGAACTCTTGATCTGCTATTGGAGAGCGGGAGAACGTACTGCCCCGGGCGGTTTGAAAGCTAGCACGGTTCATATGTAACGCTTTACTTCCAGCCAACTTTGACTGCTCACAACTTCCTTGGCAGGTTCATTTTGCAGTTTTAGTTTCCATATTTGTAATCAGCGTTTGAAGCTCTATCGATATATCTGGGTCTCAATTCAAAGTTCCATGGGAAGTTGGATGCCTTTCCTGGTAAGTACATATGGCTGGAGCAGTCGGAGGTGTTACGTTGCGTTGAGCTTGAACAGGGCATCAGGAATCTCTCCGTTCCGCAAAGATTGTCTTAGGATCATCCGCAAATTGGCTTTTTCACAAGCGCTTAGGACCAACCACCATCCGCTCTGCTTTCGCAAAATTCTGTTTTATGACCACTACGTCGTCGGCTAGGTGAATATGATGTAGTCGCCGTTCCCTTTCCGGTGTTCTCGAGAGCAGCGCTGAAAAAATTGGGCAAGTATGCTGCCCTGTTGACATCTCTTCGCGTCAATGATGACCTTATTTTATAGTAGGACAGTGAACTTTGAATTCATTATAGAACTCACGAACAGTTTTTGTGTACTGATTTATTCTTACGTCCCTGAGTCCTCCTGTAACTCCATGAAGTCAGAAGCATTCTTCAAATGGGTAAATGTGAGACGTTTCGGCACTTTTGTGAGTTTTTGAGATTTTAGAGATCTGGTCCGATGTTGTCACGGTGCTAAGTCCTCTAATCCTAATCTCTATTGGTCGTCAACCAACAAATCAGATCAGAGTTTGTCCACTGTCCACCTACCTACAATTCATCATTCGCAAACGCGGTACAGCGCTGAGTGAATTGGGCATATTCCAAGTCTCTCGAAGATTTGAGTGGAACATCGTGGCGCATCAGCCCCATAACTACATCTACTTTTTTGTCGCATGAATTTTTTCATACATCTATCAGTTTCTAAAAAATACAAGTAAAAAGTCACCAAGTAAGTAATTTTCGGATTATACGCGTACAATCAGGGAATGAGATCGACGTACTTCATTTTCACGAATTTTTTGTGCAGACGTGACGGATGATGGTAGCAAAAGACAGCAGGTAGTTTCGCCAACGACGCGATCATTAGTGGTCTTTAGTTATTCCGAAAGAGATCTTCAATTTCCTCTATGTGTTATATGTTTGGTATAATGATTGACATCGTACGAAAACCTTTAGCGAAGTTATTGATAAGTAGAAACGTGCCAAGTTTTTGCAGTCATGTTTTCAGTTTGTCATTATATTTTCATGTCTCATTTGATGGTTTTTCATAAAGTGCAAGCTAGCATTTGTCACCATAGTACTTGTGAAGCTCATCTGTAGCACCTGACAGTGCCGGGCGGAATGGTTCATCCTTCAGGAAATACTACAGTATCAGCAACTAGTCTGTATGCCTTTCCTCGCGAATCGATTTGGCAATTATGGATTACTGGGAAAGGGTCTTTATCGCTATGGTCACGCACAAAAGTTGCCTCTGTTGAACAGCATTTCTGACAATCATTGCCTTGCCAACTTATTCGTACTTCACTGAGACAAAAATATCTATCGAAGCCACTTCATTTCAGGTTTTTTTGAACCCCAAACTACATTGTGCTATCATATTTGTCAAATAAGCATTGACTTTGGCAATTTCCGAGCAGGGTCGGTCCTATCGTTGCTACTTTTTGGATTTTTTCTACGACCCCCCCCTTCATGGGCGATTTGGTACGACCCCCTGTGTGTAGCTCAAAGTGGTGATAAGATTACTTAAACAATAATAATCATATAAATACAGAACTTCTTTAGACAAAAATGCTGAATTTCGGATCAAATTTCATAAAAGACGAGTTACCGTTCCGAAAAACAGCGTACGCATGGAATTTGGACATAAAGTCATTTGTGACGCGGACCTCATGGCTGAGGGCTAAAGGATTGACAAGGTTTGAATGTGGCCACTCAAAACCTCTGTGGCGCGTTTCTTGAATCGTACCCTCGTTTACGCATGGCGCGTTCGAGTGGGAGACATTGTCGAAAAACCTGTGAGAAGTAGAGGAATTTCTTCTCTTTGCTAATTTTAGGGTTCCTCGGCAGACGAGAAAGTGGTTCTGGGAAGCACGACGCAGTCTTATCATTGGAGAACAAAGTAGACGGATTGTTCCTAAACAGTCTCCCCTTGAAATAATCTAAGTATTGAACGAAGAAATGATTTTTGCGCTACAATTTTTCACCTTCCTCTTTTTAGGGCTACTACTATGCATTATCTCTACCATTATTCGAGCTTTATATTCGAGCTTCGCACCGTCAGTTATTTGATTAAAAAATTCAAATCATTCTCTCTCCAATCATGGCTGAAAATTCATCGAAAGCTAATTTAGTAAAAATTTAGCACGTTGGAACTTTTTTCTGTGCAAACGCGACTTTTCAACCTTTAAACGACATAACTTCCTTCAAACTCATTTATTTGGGAAGCTGAACCCGGTATGAGAAACTACAGGATTCAAGCTTTCTAAAAAGTACCCAAACGTTTCTGAAAAGTCAGTAATTTCAAAAATTAGTCCCGTTGCTACATTTTGGGGGGTTCGCGGAACTATTTTTCTGAAACCGCGTTTTTTCAACCTTTTAAACGATTATAACTTCCTTCAAACTCATTGATTCGAGAAGCTGAACACGGTATGGGAAACAACAGGATTTCAATCTTTCCAAAAAGTACCAAAACGTTTTTCAAAAGTCAGTTGTCAAAAATTAGTCCGTTGCTACATTTTTTTGAGGGGCATTCTCCAAGCCATTCTCTTAAGAAAGCGGTTTTTTAGGTTTCACTGGCCGCAACGTCCAGGGGAAAAAGATATCGTGCTGACCATAGGATGTGTTAGAATACTTTGTGCATGCGCTTGCACTGATTATACCCCTTGCCTTGGGGGTTGCGCTCACGCCTCGTCGCCGCTTCTGATTAGCTGATTCATTTGAAAGCTCATTCAGAAGGAAGCGACTTACAAATGCTCTAGCATCAGTTATCTTGCGAAAGCGTAATGTGGTGACTATTGTCCATAGTTGTCATAGGCAATACTCCAGCTACACTTTAGTTTCAAAAATGTGGTTTCGTGGGTAGACCCATGTCATGGTGGGAGCACTTTTTTGAACGATGCTACATGTCTTGCAGCTGCTGTTTCTGCAAGTCTTCCTTTCTCATGCTCTTCCTGAAACATGGTTATGATCAGTAGGGAGATTACCACAAATCCCACTGCCGGCCACCGAGAGAGTACGACCCCCCTCCGGGTCCATCCAAGTACGACCCCCCGTTGCTACTTGTAGCAACATAGGGTTGACCCTGTTCTGGCGTACTTTCCTACTAACCAATATCTTACAAGGGAAGGATGTTTGGTAGTCATTTGGGATAGATTTGGACCACTCAAATTCTCTCCTAGTGCTAACGATAAGGTCAAAATCTGAATTTGCTAAAACGAATTTTCGGACATTTGCAGAGGAGTCTATGTGACTCGAAACAGATTCAAGTTCATCACAAATAAGAGTTGCTCCCATCTCCTCCAAACCAAACAGAGAAGAAAGTGCTACGTTTATTCAGAATGACACATAAATTACAATAAAATTGGTTGTGATCGAGATTCCTCACAGCATTCAGAATCTGGGATCATATACTATAAGCGGTATAGCAGCAATGAAAATCACAGAATATGGATGAATTGAGTCAAAGTTCAAGTCGTTGATGATTATGGTAATAGAAACAACGAGAACGAGCTATGTGGATCTGTGGCGAGTTTTGGACAGGATGTAGACAGTTCCATCCTGTCCACATCCATCCACAAGATTCTATAGTGAAAAATGGACG